GAGCTATGTCAGATGTCACATCAGAGCTAGAAAGGTTACAACGACTACTTGGTGAATTGGGTGTCGACTGTTTGCCTCCTATGAAGATTTATGTTGATAACACTAGCGCGATTCAGATCGCTACTAATCTGGTGCTCCATGATCGGACGAAGCATATCGAGGTTCATCTGCACTATATTCGTGACTTGGTTAGTGCTGGGACAGTTCGACTCTCCTATGTCACGTCAGAAGATCATATTGCAGATTTGTTGACTAAAGCGTTTACAGCCGGTCGTCATTCATATCTTGCTGGCAAATTGATGATGTGAAATCTTCATCAATTTGGGGGAGGCTGTTGAGTTATGGGTTTTAGCCCATGCACGTGTGACCAGGCCCATACGTAGCATAGGGATTCTCGGCCTAGTAGGGTTAGGGCAGCCGAGTATATATTGATGTTTATGCATGTAATTGTTGAGCATAATAATACGAGACTCCTCTTTCCGCCGTGGACTAATCTTGCTCACACCGAGCAAGGAAACCACGTTAAATTCCGTGTCGTGTTCCGTTTCGATCTAGTTCTTCGTTTCGTTTCTCCATTTCGATTATCAAGGCGAGCTCCAGGCGATGGCGAAGGTTTGGTGGTGGATGTCGGATGGTGGTCTCCTGGTCGAGGTCGGAGGTAGGGGAGGACTAGCGGGACTAGCCGGGACATGAGTCGACGGGAGGCAAGGCTGAGGGGCAGTCCGAGGCTCCGAGGTGCCGATTCCGACGAGACTGGACGTTATGCGAGTCGAGTAGTTGAAGGGAGGTGGAGGCGCAAAGTACGAGACGATAGCGGGGGAATGAGGGCTCTGGGTCCCTGGGAGGGCGGCGGCACGAGCGTCGGAAAGAGTTTTGGTTGGCGGTCGGCGAGTTCTTGAAGGCGGCGCAAATCGCGATTGAGAGAGGGGTGGGTGCGGCTGTTGTTCTCGTTAGGTTTGGGATGGGAGTGGGAATGGCCTGGGCCTCTGGGGAAAACGGAATTGGGACGGGAGATGGAAAAATGGAATTGGGGTCTGGGGATATTTTTGATGATTTTAGGGTTAAGGGGTGTGGTAGGGTATCCACGGGCCGGGTACCTCCAAACTCGAATCCGCCTCGACCCGTTGAACAAGCGACCGGGTTTAAACCCGAACTCGGTCAACACGAATTTTACCTGCGTTGACCAGGTTGGGTCGGGTCGGGTACCCACAGGTTCGGGTTTCATTGCCATCCCTAACGGTGCCACCGTCTCATCGGCCACATCGACGACACAATTTCTTCCGACGACGACAACTGCCGATAATCAACCCAATCCGGCTTATACATGCTGGTATGAGGATGATCAGCTCGTCCTTGTCTGGATTAATCTCTCATTGACTGAAGCCGTCATGCCGACGGTTGTCAACAAAACTACAACTATTGCTGCCTGGGACGCTCTCGCTACGGTCTACGCCTCGGGCTCTCCGGTCATTATTGGTCAGCTTCGCAAGTCTCTACTTCGTCTATCTCATGGCAATGAGACAGTCCATGAATATATCCACCGGGTGAAGGCCATCTTTGACAAAATGGTCATTCTCGGCGCTACCGTCACTGAACAGGAGCTGGTGACTGCCATTCTTGACGGGCTCGACGAGGATTACCGTCCATTCACTCGCAATCTTGAGGCACGTCTGGAGCCCATCTCCTTCGAGAACGTGAGCGGTCTTCTTAGTGAGGAAATGCAGCTGCAATGATTCCGTCCGTCGTCTGTGGATGTAGCACCTACGCAATCTTTTTATTCTGCTCGAGGGGGGGCACAACGGTGGTCTCTTTTCTCGCGGTAGAGGCGCTCGCTTCGGTGTCCGAGGATTTTTCAACCCGGGCCGTTTTCCTAACCCTTCTTTTGCAGGTGGGCGGCCCAACTCTAGTGGTTCTCGGCCCAACTTTGGTGTGCTAGGGGTTGGGGCTTCCAGCCCATCTCTATTGGTGTGTCACAATTGCGGAGGGAAGGGACATATTGGCCCACATTGTCCAAGCCCTTTCATCCCCGCCCAAACCACGTACAATCCTGGACCCGCATCTCATCTCGCCCAATCCTCTCACCCTGCTTAATCCTCGCAACAGTGGCTTCTTGACTCCGGTGCCAATCACCATCTTACTTCCGATCTGGGTAATCTGATTCATCATTCTGAATACAATGGTCCTGATCAAGTCACCTTTGGCAATGGTAAATGCCTACCTATCTCTCATTCTGGTTCTTCTCATGCTCTTCTTTCTAATAATTCCTATGTTCTCGATAATATGCTTCGTGTCCAAAATGCCCCTCGGAGTCTTCTCTCTGTCCGCTATTTGACTCGTTCTAACCCCATTTCCATTGAATTTTTTGATACCTATTTTGTGATCAAGGATCGTCGCACGAAGGATGAACTATATCGTGGTTCTGCGCGTGACGGCCTCTACTCCCTACCTCTTCATATCCAAAGTCGCACTCTTCCTCGTGTCTTCACTGCCTCTCTTGATCTCTGGCATCAACGATTGGGTCACGCAAATCTCCATGTTGTTAAACATCTTTTGTCTACTCATTCAATAAAATATCATGATAACTCTACTTCTTTGTGCCATGGTTGTTCTATTAGTAAAATTCATAAAATGTCATTTCCTTCTTCCCAATATCGTCCTTCTTCCTATTATGTCTTATTCTATGATCACTATAGTAAGTTCAGCTGGGTGTATTTTGTGCGTTATAAATCTCAACTACTCATGTCTTCATCCAATTTCACCAGCCTGTTGAAATGTTTTTTGGACTTCCCATTACAACCTTTCAATCTGATTGGGGAGGTGAGTATCAAGCATTATCCTCTTATCTTACGACTAATGACATTGTTCATCATTCGTCTTGTCCATATACACCAGAATAAAATGGTTGTGCGGAGCGGAAACATCGTCACATTGTCAATAATGGCCTCGCTATGTTACATTAGGCTCCGCTCAAATATTGGTCTCTCGCGTTTGATACAGCTTGTTATCTTATCAATCGCACTCCTACTCCTCTTCTTCAAAATCAATCTCCATTCCACACTTTGTTTCATAAATCGCCTAATATTCAAAGTCTTCGTGTCTTTGGTTGTTTATGCTATCTCTGGCTTAGTCCTCAAACTTCTCATAAACTTTAACCACGTTCTACTCCATGTGTTTTCTTGGGTTATAGTGGTTTACATAAAGGTTATCGGTGTCTTGATCGGTCTACTGGTCGTATTTATGTCAGTCGTCATGTTTTTTTTGATGAATCAGTATTTCCCTACAAGGACACTCCTATCGATCCAACCACCTTTATTTCTTCCGATCTTTTTCTCTCCGAGCCCATACATTTCACCAGATCTCTCCTTTTCCCCCTCTACTTCCGCAGGCCCACACACTTCCTCACCACCACCCCAGCCCACTATTCCCAACCTTGAGCCCATAATCTTACCTTCCCAGCTTCATCTGTCCTCTCCCTAGTCCATTTCACCCTCTGTTCACGATACCTGATAGACCGATAATTACACATGTTTTCACCCCTATTCTTGAGCCGTTTGAGATGTTGATTCTCGTATTTTAAGCCGATTTCACGCTAGGTTGTGCGTTCATGTCATATTTCAGGACCCGACGTTGGAATCGAGGCGAAGGAACGAGATTCGGGTCGAAAGGAGCAAGTGAGGCTTGAAGTGTGCTGGAGGATGAAAATACCCGGCCATGACCAGAAATACCCGGCCGGGTATTAATTTGAGGAGACCGGGTATTTGCTGTTTTGGGCGTCTGAGAAACAGAGAGGGTCCCGGTCGTGAAGCTTAAATCCCCGGTCGGGGATTATTGGACATGACCGGGGATTTTTCCCTGAAGCAAAACGTGCGTTTTAATAATACCCGGTCGAGACCCAAAATACCCAACCAGGTATTTCGACCGGGTATCGCGACAGGCAGCTGTTTTAAGGGAAAAGAGGCTAAAAATCAAGGATTCCGAGTTTTAGAGAGACAGAGCGATTCCTAGAGAGAGAGAGCGACGAACCAGAGTTCCCAAGTGCCATAGCTTGATCTTCATCACCATTGGAGCCCGGTTTGAGTTTGGAGAAGTGCCGATTGACAACCAGGAGCAGAAACTCATCCTTCACAGTATGATTTCCGCGTCTGAATCTGCTTTTGCTTCTCTCTCCATGGAGTAGTTTCCCCATTCATCTGGGTATGGGGAACCTTAGATTTGTATGATAGGTCTGATTGTATGAACCCAAGTACAGAGTTTATGAATTGATTATATTCGATTGAGGTTTGAATGATTGAATGACTTGAATCCTGATCAAATTCCTGTTGTTTCTGCTTTAACCTAGAAAGAGAATACCTGTCTAGGTTGATAGAGCACCCTTAGTTGAAGGTAGTGAATTGGCGACTTTAGTCGAGGAGCCAATTCATTATTCTGTACCGAATTTACTTCGGTAGTGGAGGTTTGGTTCGTTAGGGCCTCAATCTGTTTACTCCGGTAGAGGTTAGTCGCCCGCTGGAGACTCAGATTGAGAGGGTCTGAAGACCTTTAGTCGAGACTCCAGACTATTTAAGAACCTTCCGCAGTATAACTTTCATGATAACTTAACTTGGTAAATTGCAATCCGGCTTAACTGCAGTCTAGGGGGAACCATATCCGGGTGACCTCTCTCGACTTGAAAACAATCGTTTAACTTGCTTTGTGTTTTTGTTTGTTTGGACTTGCTCTAAAGTTTCACTGCTAGATAACAAGAATTCACCGAGTAGTCATTAAATCTAGGACCCGGGTTGAGATTAAAACCCAAACCCGCTATACTACGCTTTAGGAAGTGGTTATACTTGGCCATTTTCTAGAGTGACAGTAGGAGTGAGTCAAGTTTTTGGCGCCGTTGCCGGGGACGGCTAGGTTGTTGAAGAAAAGTGATTTATTTTACTTTAGCATTTTCATTTTCGCATTGAGTGTTTGTTCTTTCCCACTTGTGCCTTCACGGGTTTGCATTGCTTGATTGTGTGCAGATAATGCATGACCCGTAGTCAGTCGGGAGGTTTACTGCCGTTGGATCCAGAGATTGAACGCACCTACCACCAACTTAGGAGACAACAGCGAGCTAGACTGGCTACGGTAGAGCGCATAGACGGCCATTTGAGCAGCGAGTCCGAGGACGAGTACGAGATGGAAGGCGACCACAACCCACCTCCGGGGAATCAGCTCTTGGGGAGCGACCCCAGACCCCAGGCACCGCCGCAGGATCCCACTTTGGAGTACTATTACACTACACGGATTGCTGACATCCGCCCAGTCATCCTCTATCCGCCCATTCCAGCGAACAACTTCGAGATCACGCCATGCTGGATTCAGCTCATAACATTCTCTATCCAGTTCCATGGCTTGAAGGATGAGGAAGCAAGGGTGCACCTTTCCCGTTTTCTGCAGCTGACGAACGGGTTCAAGCTGAACGGTGTCCCGGATGACGCAATCCGCCTTCACCTCTTCCCCCATTCTGTGGCTGGGAATGCTAAGAGGTGGTTGGAGACCCAGCCCCCATTGTCCATCACTTCTTGGGACGATCTGGCAGATAAGTTCGTGCACAGGTACTATCCGGCATCGAAGACCACAGAGATTCAGCGGGAGATCACTCACTTCCGCCAAGAGCCAGACGAGTCACTTCGTGATGCATGGAAGCGGTACATGGGATATTTCTGGCAGTGTCCCCATCATGGCTTCAGTGATGCATTCACAGTGGGGAACTTCTACAGTGCTCTCTCCCCGGACAGCTAGAGGGTGATTGAGTCTCTATGCCAGGAGAAGTTATTCTCACTAAGACTCCACCTGAGCTGAACCAGATGATTAGTACCTTGGCTGCCCGAGATCATTCCTGGGGGCAGAACAGCAGAGGCAGAATTTCCTGGGACCGTGGTGTGCACGCTATGGAGGCCAGGTCCGGGTTAGAGCAGCAGGTGGCTGAATTGGTGCAGACATTGAAGCAGTCCAATATTCTTATTCCGGGTCGAGGTACAGCTACGCCTCCAGTAGCTCAGTGTCAGTGGTGTGAGAGCCCGAATCATCTGGTGGAGGACTGTTAGCCATGAGGGAGTCCTCTACTCCCCAAGAACAGGTGGACTTCATCGCCAATGCTCGGCGCCTGGACCCATATAGCAATACCTACAATGAGGGGTGGCGCCAGCATCCCAACTTCGCCTGGAATAGCAACACCGCTAAACCACCTGGTTTCCCAGCACCAGCGGGTGGTTTTCAGCAGAGGCAGCCCTTACAGGCTAGGCAGGGGCCACCACCACAGCAACAGCCCTACCAGCCTAGGCAGGGGCAGCCATTCCAGCATCCTCGGCGTCAGTATGCCGAGCCAGCAGCAGCACCAGCTCCTGATAATCAGTTGACTGAGCTGCAGAACATTTTGGCGGCATTCATGACCACCAGCCAGGCAAATTTCACGAGGGTGGATCATAGCATAGCCTCACTGGAGGCAGGACAGAGGAACCAGGGTGCCATTTTGCAAGATTTACATAACCAGGTGGGTGTCATAGCTCGCCAAATTACTACTCGGGCCCCGGGGACTCTACCTGCCACTACCATCCCCAATCCACGGGAGCCGCACCAGCAGTTGGACGCCATTTTTACCAGGAGCGCAGCACGACCATATCAGCTGATCCTGCCCCGGCCAGGCAGGAGGAGCCACTACCTGCTTCAGCACTTCCAGCCGATGATGCAGAAGTGCGGGTGAAGAAGGAAGCCCATGCTCCCAAGCCACAACCAGTGGTTAAGGAGCATGTGCCCCAGCTTCCCTTCCCCACTCGCCTACACAAAGACAAGCTGAAGACTGAGTTTGCCAAGTTTATGGCAATGTTGAAGCAGCTCAACATCAGCATACCGTTTGTGGAGGCACTGTCGAAGATGCCCAAGTACGCAAAGTTCATGAAAGATCTCCTCACCAACAAGAAGAAACTTGGGAATCTGTCGACAGTGCTGCTGAGCGAGGAGTGTTCTGCCATCCTGCAGAACAAGCTGCCCGAAAAGCGCATGGACCCAGGGAGTTTCACTATCCCTCTTACTATTGGCAGCATGCATGTAGGCAAGTCTTTGGCGGATCTAGGCGCTAGCATAAATGTCATGCCATATAAGTTGTTTAAGAAGCTAGACCTAGATGAACATAGCCCTACTAGGATGAGCATTCAGCTAGCTGATCGTTCCGTTGTGCATCCTAGGGGTATCATAGAGGACCTGCTTGTTAATGTGGGTGCATTCACATATCCTGTTGACTTTGTTATTCTGGATATAAATAAGGATGTGGATGTGCCTTTGATTTTAGGGAGACCATTTCTTGCCACCGCCAAGGCACTTATTGATGTGCATGATGGTAAACTGATCCTACGTGCTGGAAATGAACAAGCTACTTTTTCTGTGACTGGATTCGATCACTGTGCTATGATTGCTGTCACACCTATGCATGCTATTTCTGACCCGGTACACGAGCCTGTCGTGTATCCTTCTGCACTTCTCATTTTGCAGGATCCCCCTCTCACTCCTTCGCCGCCGCTCCCTCTAGCCTCACCATCGAATAAAAAGCTCAAAGAGGAGTGGCGGCCGAAGCAGCAGGTGTCTAAGCCTACTCGGAAGAAAGGTGGAGACCACTATGAGCTGGTCCCACCTCCTCCTGCATCATGATCACCCTGGCCATCCGCGTACTCACTTGCCTGCATTCTGCCTGATGGCCAGGTCGAGCTAACCAATGCTGGTAGTTGCACCCGTCGGGTGCACGGTCACCACCTGAAGCTGTACCTCAAGAGTGACGTGGATCCGCTCTTGGAGGCACCTGTTCTCGCGGACCCTTAGTTCCGCCATGAGCGTCCAGCTAAAAGACGGTAAAGAAGCGCTTGTGGGGAGGCAACCCCACCATGGTTTGCATTTCTTTTTCCCTTTTTCTGAGTTTTTGTGTCGTGTCGAGTCAGTTGCATGTCTGTGGTGAAGTTCGGTCGTTTGTGATACCTCGATTTGGTGTTTTCGTGCAGGAGAGGTTGAAATTTTGGGCGAATGAGATTTTTGGCCGGTTGGGGGGAAATACCCGGTCGTGGGCCAAAATACCCGACCGGGTATTCTTGGTACATGATCGGGACCCACTCTGTTTCTCGGGGTGAAAAAAGGGGAATCCCCGACCTCGTCCCAAAATTACCCGACCGGGTATTCTTGGTACATGATCGGGACCCACTCTGTTTCTCGGGGTGAAAAAAGGGGAATCCCCGACCTCGTCCCAAAATTACCCGACCGGGTATTTTTGGTTCAAGGCCGGGGATTTTCCAGGAATGGAACGCAGCGTTTTCAAAAATACTCGACCTTGACCCAAAATTACCCGACCGGGTATTTTTAGCTCAAGGCCGGGTATACTATTGCACTCGACACGCTGCGTTTAAGAACCCCCGGTCGTGGGATCAAAAATACCCGACCGGGTATTTTTGAGACCCGACCGGGGATTTTGGCTATTTAAAACAAACCCCCGGTCAGTTTCTCTCTCTACCCTCATTTTTCCAAAATTTCTCCTCTCTCCTCCTCTCAAATCCTCTCCCCTCTCTCCTCTCCGCCGCCGCCCCGTCGCCGGTTGATAGACCGATAATTATACGTGTTTTTATCCCTATTCTGAGGCCGTTTGTGACGAGGAATCTCGTGTTTTAAGCCGATTTCACGCTAGGTTGTGTGTTTATGTCATATTTCAGGTCCCGGCGTTGGAATCGAGGCGGAGAAACGAGTTCTGGGTCGAAAGGAGCAAAGTTGGGACGGATAGGGCTGAAGGAGGAAAATACCCGGTCAGGTGGCCAAATACCCGACCGGGTATTCACCACTTTTGGGCGCCCGAGAAGCAGAGAGGGGCCCGGGCACAGCAGCAAAATCCCCGGTCGGGGATTATGGCGATTGACCGGGGATTCTTCCCTTAAGCGAAACGGTGCGCTGCAGAGATACCCGGTCGAAACCCAAAATACCCGACCGGGTATTTCGACCGGGTATCGCGACCAGGCAGCTGATTTAAGGAGGAAGAAGGCCAACATTGAAGGGTTCGGAGTTTTTTGAGAGAGAAAGCGACGAACCAGAGTTCCCAAGCGCCATAGATCGATCTTCAACACCATTGGAGCCCGGTTTGAGCTTGGAGAAGTGCGATTAAACGTCCAGGAGCAGGAATCCAACTTCACAGTATGATTTCCGCGTCTGAATCTGCTTTTGCTTCTTTCTCTATGGAGTAGTTTCCCCATTCATCTGGGTATGGAGAACCCTAGATTTGTATGCTAGGTCTGATTGTATGAACCCAAGTACAGAGTTTGTGAATTGATTATATTCGATTGAGGTTTGAATGATTGAATGACTTGAATCCTGATCAAATTCCTGTTGTTTCTGCTTTGACCTAGAATGAGAATATTTGCCTAGGTTGATAGAGTACCCTTAATCGAAGGTAGCGAATTGGTGACTTTAGTCGAGGAGCCAATTCGCTATTCTGTACCGAAGTTAATTCGGTAGTGGAGGTTTGGTTCATTAGGGCCTCAATCTGTTTACTCCGGTGGAGGTTAGTCGCCCGCTAGAGACTCAGATTGAGAGGGTCTGGAGACCTTTAGTCGAGACTTCAGGCTAATTGAGAACCTTCCGCAGTATAACTTTCATGAAAACTGAACTTGGTAATTACAATCCGACTTAACTGCAGTCTAGGGGGAACCATATCCGGGTGACCTCTCTTGACTTGACAACAAACCGTTTACTTGCTTTGTGTTCTGTTTGCTTGAGTTGCACCAAAAGTTCACCGCTGAATAACAAGAATTCACCGAGTAGTCATCACATCTAGGACCCGGGTTGACATTATAACCCGACCCGCTATACTACGCTTTAGGAAGTGGTTATACTTGGCCATTTTCTAGGGTGACAGTAACAGTGAGTCAAGTTTTTGGCGCCGTTGCCGGGGACGGCTAGGTTGTTGAAGAAAAGTGATTTCTGTTACTTTAGCATTTTCATTTTCGCATTGAGTTTTGCTTTTCCCGCTTGTGCCTTCACGGGTTTGCTTTGCTTGATTGTGTGCAGATAATGCATGACCCGTAGCCAGTCGGGAAGTTTACTGCCGTTGAATCCTGAGATTGAGCGCACCTGCAAACAACTTCGGAGACAACAGCAAGCTAGACTGGCTACGGTGGAGCGCCGAGACGGCCAATTGACCAGCGACTCCGAGGACGAGCACGAGATGGAAGGCGATCCGAACCCGCCTCCTCAGAACCAGCTCCTGGGGAACGACCAACATCCCCAGGGAGCTGGCCACCATCATCATCCACCACCACCGGGTCCCACCTTGGAGTACTACTATACTCCACGGATTGCTGACATCCGCCCGGTCATCCTCTATCCACCCATCCCTGCAAACAACTTCGAGATCAAGCCATGCTGGATCCAACTCATCACATCCTCTATCCAGTTCCATGGCTTGAAGGATGAGGAAGCCCGGGTACACCTTTCCCGTTTTCTGCAGCTGACGAACGGGTTCAAGCTGAATGGTGTTCCGGATGATGCAATCCGCCTTCACCTCTTCCCCCATTCTCTGGCGGGGAATGCTAAGAGGTGGTTGGAGACCCAGCCCCCATTGTCCATCACCTCTTGGGACGATTTGGCTGACAAGTTCGTGCACCGGTATTATCCGGCATCGAAGACCATGGAGATACAGCGGGAGATCACTCACTTCCGCCAAGAGCCAGATGAGTCCCTTCGTGATGCATGGGAGCGGTACATGGGATACTTCTAGCAGTGTCCCCATCACGGTTTCAGCGATGCTTTCACAGTAGGGAACTTCTACAGCGCCCTCACTCCAGATAGCCAGAGGGTGATCGAGTCTCTATGCCCAGGAGGGGATATTCTCACTAAGACTCCACCCGAGCTGAACCAGATGATCAGTACCTTGGCTGCCCGCGATCATTCTTGGGGACAGAGCAGCAGGGGCAGGAATGCCCGGGACCGGGGTGTGCATGCTATTGAGGCCAGATCTGGGTTAGAGCAGCATGTGGCTGAGTTGGTGCAGACATTGAAGCAGCCTAACAGTCTCCTTCCAGGCCGAGGTGTAGCTGCGCCTCCAGTAGCTCAGTGCCAGTGGTGTGAGAGTCCAAACCATCTGGTGGAGGACTGCCAGGCTATGCGGGAGTCCTCTACTCCCCAAGAACAGTTGGCCTTCATCGCCAATGCTCGGCGCCTCGATCCATACAGTAACACATACAATGAGGGATGGCGCCAGCATCCCAACTTCGCCTGGAGCAACAACACCAGTAAACCACCTGGTTTCCCAGCACCAGCAGGTGGTTTTCAGCAGAGGCAGCCTTTCCAGGCTAGACAGGGGCAGCCATTCCAGCAGCCCCAGCGTCAGTATGCCGAGCCAGCAGCAGCGCCAGCTCCCGATAATCAGATGACCGAGCTGAAGAACGTTTTGGCGGCATTCATGACCACCAGCCAGGCGAATATCACGAGGATGGATCAGGCCATAGCTTCACTGGAGGCAGGGCAGAGGAACCAGGGTGCCATTCTGCAAGATTTACAGAACCAGGTTGGCGCCATAGCTCGCCAGATTACTACTCGGGCCCCGGGGACTCTACCTGCCACCACCACCCCCAATCCATGGGACCCGCATGAGACCGCACATGCCATTTTCACCCTGAGCGGCAGGCCTACATCAGCTGATCCTGCCCCGACCAGGCAGGAGGAACCACTACCTGCTTCAGCACTTCCAGCCGGTGATGCAGAAGTGCGGGTGGAGAAGGAAGCCCCTGCTCCCAAGCCACAACCAGTGGTGAAGGAGCACGTACCCCAGCTTCCCTTCCCCACTCGCCTTCACAAAGACAAGCTGGAGATTGAGTTCGCCAATTTTATGGCAATGTTGAAGCAGCTCAACATCAGCGTACCATTTGTGGAGGCACTGTCGAAGATGCCCAAGTACGCTAAGTTCATGAAAGATCTCTGCACCAACAAGAAGAAACTTGGGGATCTCTCGACAGTGCTGCTGAGCGAGGAGTGTTCTGCCATCCTGCAGAACAAGCTGCCCGAAAAGCGCAAGGATCCAGGGAGTTTTACTATCCCTCTTACTATTGGCAGCATGCATGTAGGAAAGTCCTTGGCGGACCTAGGTGCTAGCATTAATGTCATGCCATATAAACTGTTCAAAAAGCTAGACCTAGGTGAACTTAGCCCTACTAGGATGAGCATTCAGCTAGCTGATCGTTCCATTGTGCGTCCTAGGGGTATCATAGAAGATTTGCTTGTTAATGTGGGTGCATTCACATATCCTGTTGATTTTGTTATTCTGGATATAAATGATGATGTGGATGTGCCCTTGATTCTGGGTAGACCATTTCTTGCCACCGCCAAGGCACTGATTGATGTGCATGATGGTAAACTGATCTTGCGTGCTGGAAATGAACAGGCTATTTTTCCTGTGACTGAGTTTGATCATTGTGCTATGATTTCTGTATCGCCTGTGCACGCTATCTCTGATCAGGTACACGAGCCTGTCGTGTATCCTTCTGCACCTCTCATTTTGCAGGACCCCCCTCTCACTCCTTCGCCGCCGCTCCCTCCAGCCTCACCACCGAACAAACAGCTCAAGGAGGAGTGGAGGCCGAAGCTGCAGGTGGCTAAGCCTGCACAAAAGAAAGGTGGAGACCACTATGAGCTGGTCCCACCCCCTGCACCACGACCACCCTGGCCATCCGAGTACTCACTCGCCTGCATCTTGCCGGATGGCCAGGTCGAGCTGACCTCTGCTGGTGGTTGCAACCGTCGGGTGCTCGGTCACCACCTGAAGCTGTACCTCAAGAGCGATGTGGATCCGCTCTTGGAGGCACCTGATCCTGCACCTCGCTGAGTATCCACCATGGGCGTCCAGCTAAAAGACGGTAAAGAAGCGCTTGTGGGGAAGCAACCCCACCACGGTTTGACTTTCTTTCTTATGTTTCGAGTCGGATTGCGATTTGGTTTTGTTTTGGATTGTTTCCTTTGTTCTGGATAATGTCTTATTGGGCTGACATCGGACCTAACATATTCTGGTTGAGGCCTTCTGTTCCCCTTGAGCTGTGCTGTGTTCCCGACTGGTCCATTTCCAGTCTTCTGCAGTCCGTGCATACCGGTAACATCGTTCCCCTTTTCCTTCCCTCTTCTCCATTGAGGGCAATGTCGATCTTAAGTGTGGGGGGGGATGTTTATCTTTTGACTGCATTAGCTCTGTTTGTGTGTTTGGAGCCTAGTCCACTGTCCGAATTTTTAACTTTGAGGGCTCCAAGTACGTGTTCCTTGCAATTGCCTGCTCAGTATGCTTTGAATTGACAGTCTCTGTAGTGATTTGCAACCTAGGGAGGTAGTGTAGCACTATGGAGGATGTTGATGCATTTAAGAAGTCTCATTTCTTCTTCATACTGTGTTGGTTGATTGAGTGAATTAGTGATCTTAGGACCCTTGAATTGTGTGGTATTGTGGACTCTCTGCCTGTCATGGACTCTTGTATCATGTTCTGAATGTAACAGGTGCTCGAAATGTGCTTTAAGATAACGTCTCCCGTGCGAATAGGGCGAAAGTGTGTAAGGGGAGACGGAAATCCGTTCCCAATTTCCACCTACTACCTCCAGCCCCCTTACATGTCTTTCCCCCGCACGAGGCTCGAGACACCCGCTCCTGGCATGGCCGGTAAGAGCCGGGCTCCCGCAAAACCTTTGCTAGGTGGGAGCCCTCATTTTGTGCAGAAACAGGTTGGAACCCGTGGAAAAAAAAACAGAAAAACAGAAAAAACAAGTAAAAAGAAGAAAGAAGAGGGTTCCGACCATGTTCAAGACGAAAATCGAGCACCTTGAATTAATGTGAGTCCATGATCTTTTGTTTGTGAGAGTCTCTTCATCCACGATTCATTTGTCCTCTGTTCACTATTTGCCATGATGCCGACTCGAGACTAGCGTTCTCGCCGAAGAGGCTATGAGATGACTTGTGCGTCGGTTGACCTCGTAAGCTGCTAAATGATCTAGGAAGTCCTCTACCTACGATCGAGATTGTTTGTTGCTATAGAGGTCTGGAGAGCTGCATTGGTTTGAGTTAGGTTTGCTTGGGGACAAGCAAACGGTTAAGTGTGGGGGAGTTTGATAAACCGATAATTATACGTGTTTTTATCCCTATTCTGAGGCCGTTTGTGACGAGGAATCTCGTGTTTTAAGCCGATTTCACGCTAGGTTGTGTGTTTATGTC